CCACAGATGCAAGGGAAATGCTTGTATTTACCTCAGCAATTCCCTTAACAAGTCTGACAATTCGAGTACTTTACGTGGTGCTGCTACTAGTGGAGGCGTATGTGCTAGCACTCTCCTCCAAATGACACCTCGACAGGCCCAATCAATTGTGTTCTTGGAAGTAATTATCTGGTCGGCAGCCTCTTGAACTCATCATATCCACCATTTCATTAGCCTAAACATCGAAGGAGAGTCATTCACGCCGTCGAGTTTCCACACAGGCTTTATAAGGAAATGCAACCCACCTTCCCGCTTCCAATTCACATCTATAATAATTACCACTGTCAGTGTTAGTGTTAGTGATAAGTTCGTCGCTATGACCTGTAGTTCAGTCCAAGTACCATAAGCATATATCAAAAACATTGAAAGGTCAATGCTATACAGAACACACTCGTAATCAGCTAATGCCCCTCTTTCTTACTGCTAGCAAGTTCGGTTTTGTAGACTATTACTTTTGAAAAGAAACTGTGGCCTATACTGTGGGAGACCAAATAAATCAACATTTACAGTAATGGGATGGGCAGAATTCACTATTCTCATGCCTAACTTTCCATGGCTTGCAAAATGCATAAGCAGTGGAAGTGCAGTCTGCAGAAAACTTCCCAGATATGCCAAATTCCTTGTCCTCCAAAATGACAATTGTGTAGAAATCAGGTTGATAGTCATAAAAAAGGTAGTTTGCTCTTTCAAGGATATCCAGTGGAGCTCAAAAAGGTTGAAATTTAAGTTTAAATTCCATCTGCTTAAAGGCCTTTTCAGTGGCTTTATGGATTTTTGGAAGGTACAGAGTCTAAGAGTAGAGACACTGGGTAGCAACGACTTATTCATCCATCTGCAGTCACTTGTTGATATATTGTCGTAGAGTTTATAAGAAGACTATGCATTTCCACCTTCGGATTGCCGCACAAACGTGTATTATGCAAACCACACCAAGGTGTTCGCATAATTTGTGAACTTATTTTGGAGGGATGTCTGTGATCTTGGCCCTGAATATACTTTAAAGAAAAACGTAGTCTTAGTGTGCAGTGAGTTGCTTAAAGTATAGCTTCTTACTCTGTGGTAAGTTAAAAAACCACCGATCCTTTCAAAATAGTTCTTTTTCCCAAGTTTGTCAAAAAAGGAGCAATATCTTTGCTAGTGTTGCTAGGTTTGACCTCAAGTAAAATGTGTGTGCAAGATCAACCACTGCATATTTGAAGAGAATGATTGTTGTCCTACAGGCTGTCGTGAGCAACCGACAGGGCATGGAGAAAGGTGACAACATGACCAAAGACACTGTCGTTCGATAGAGCTTGTATGCTGTTGCTACTGAAAATATCGTTTAAATTAATGCCGGACACTTAGTAGTACTAGCAATGTAGTTCTAGAGTAAAAATGGCTACCTAATATTTGGCTATTCTTCCACCTCTGGCAGCTGCTTTACGGTAAAACTACCGCATTTACCTGGAGCAGTGCTGCTCCAGTAACGATGCATCATGACAGGCAAGATTCTCTTTCTCCGGTACTATCGCCAACAGAATTCCATGGGCACACACTGATGTCAGCACGTTGTCTGATGATCACATCAATTTTGATGCGAATCAGCTGCAAGGCAATATACGATAGAACTACTGCTATTTGAAATGCCAAATTCGACTCCCGTCAACTTCCATTGCGCTAGTGACGCCACACACTTTTCATGAGAATGGGACGGATTTCCACACGCTTAAGGGAAAAGTTGTCTGTAAAGTCTCAAGATATCGTGAAATTAGGAATAACAGTGGAAGGAAGGGGATATCCTATAGATTACAGCTGCAAATTTAGTGACGGTGACTATGAAGATGCTTTTCGTATAATATGGAGGCATGGATAACCTCTTGAGTTGTATCATGGCTGCGTCGGTGCTCTACATCAAGGGCCTCACAAACAACTGCGATTGCATGTAGGTGATATTTTAGAGAGTAAATGCATTCGAGTTTTGTCTTTGTTCTCAAATATCTGCCAATTGACTAATTTGGTGTACTTAGCGCCAAAAACCATGCTGCCATGTACTTGTTGAAGAAAGTGCGATGGATCCACCCCGATGTCCCATCGAGAAGTGAAAAAAATGAACTAATGAATTCAATTATGCCAAAGGTTTATTAACAACGTTTAACTTAAAGCACAATAAAAATTGCATGCATTTCCAAGTATGGAAAACAGAGGCAATATACAACATTAGTAGGTAGACACATTACTCCTTCTAACTGTTCTGGTAGATATAGTGGGTTTGGTACTTATGATTCGCTTGTATTATGACCAACACTAACGTAATATTTAGTATGTTTCAGGTTCTCCCAAATTCTATTACAAGTCATTTTCTTAACTACGCTAAGTAACATTAGAATTTACAGCTCTTCCTGTCGGCCAACTCACCAGCCATTAACCCAGCTTTAATCTTAGAACAGCGTGTATGCGATCCCATTAGAAGTAACCAGTGAATGTGAGGAGAGTGGAACAAACCCAGACACATAATAGGTCAAAATGGACAAGTCGGGTACAGTCTAGGATTTCGCACAGTTAGTATGGAACCTCGTTTTTCCAATACGTCTCTATAGCACTTCTTCTGTGCTACTTTTTTTTCCTTCTCTTTTCTTTTTCTCTCTTATAACTGCTAGATGGTTGCAACTTAGCTCGGTAATGTACACTTTCTTGGCAGGCTGAAGTCTTGCTTATTGGCAAACTAATAACAGACCCATTTGCTTTGCTCTGCTCCAAACGTAACTCCCGTTTGACATGCGACCATAGCTACTAGTGATCGAAATAGAAAGTGCGATCAACACCTGCCTGCCCTTATGTCTGTTTTTTCTTTGTCGTACTAACAGGTAAATGGTGACCTGGCTTACCTTGTTTCGCATTGCGATAATTCAAGCTGGCAAAATTTAGCCATTCCTATTAACTTTCTGCACAAATTCCTCGTCATTTTTGCTTTTGCAGTTAGTCCTTCACCCATTTATGCCTCCTCTGATTAACAAGAGAAAGCCTGAGACATTTGCCTTCCACATGATCCGATGGCGTGAGTCAGCCCAGGTTAAACTAAATCAGGTATGGTGCATAACTACTGCATCGTACCAACGTCCAGCTAGAAAAAAGCCAATGCGAAAATAAGTCAACTGAGCATATATGCACCAGTAGACCTAAAGTGGCTAAAAATGCAAATAATTAGCTAAAGTACTTTAAAATTAATACTAAAATACGCTTTCACGATTCTGATCATGCAAGTTTGGTCACAATTTTGTACATGCTTTTGGTAGAAGTTTAAATCCTTAGTATGTGATTTGGGATTAAATACACTCTGTAAATGCAGAACAAGCAGCAATTAATGAAAATGAAATAAAGAAGTTTCCTTAAGCAAAGCAATTACAGCGGCATTTGCTAAAGAAGGGTTGCTCGTAGGATCACCCTCTATGCTCCTAATAACCTATCATTTCACAGTTTGGCCGTAGGGGCAAATTATGGTCATTTTAATGCAATGGCGTGTCATTGGTTGACACGGTGTTCCGCTAAATGAAGGTATCTTAAATGATGTAAGGTGGGAAGATTTTACGCACGATCCAAGTGTTTGTCTTCTTAACAACCGAGAATGTCCAGTCAACCGAGCCTATTGTACAACCAGTAGGTTAATACAAACAAACATATGGTGCACTCCGGGATTTTTTCCAAACTTCATGGAGTTGTGAAGAAAAAGCACTAACTTTGAACTTTTGAGATTTGAAAAGAATTTGGTAAGTAGAAATTGTAAATGCGTTAAAATTTTCAAAAGCAGCTTAGATTGTACAAAAAATTGCGGTTTAAATTAGCATCGAATTTTGGCGTTTTTGAAATAAAGGGCAATGAAATGAAGTAGACTTAACCAATTTTATGCATTTTTAGATGAACTACGGTAAAATTAATGCATTAAAGGTCTGATGAATTCCACCTGTAGGGATCGTTAAAGAGGAACTGATAATTTTGCATGAATTTGATCGGTTGTATAGGATGTTGCTATGTTATCATAATTCATACTGAATCTACCTTATCACCTGCATACCCATTCACTCCTGCAGCCATAAGTGCATTCATTTAGCAATGCCAATGGATCACAGGCTAGTTTCTGTTGCATTATAAGGAGATCCATGTGAGGGGTTCGAGGCTCCAGGCCCACTCCGCTACTTTAGCGCTTGTTCCGGAGTGAACCGCTCTTAATGTGACTCATGCCATTGACAGGATTGAAATCTGCAGTACTTCATCACAATCTCAAATTCGCCCACAACTCTTCCATACCTAGGACTAAGGGAAGACTTTGCTTTTAATCCGTCTGATTATAAGGGCGATCGAAGTTTGCCTGCCTATTGCATCTGCTAGGAGAGTTCAGTTACCCTTACCTAATTTGCTGAGCTCTCTAAGGAGAAGGGAGTAGAAGCAACTATTTCTCCACTAAAAACACATAATCAGGCAGATAATAATTTTTTTTCTAGCCAATCTGCAAATGCTTGGTCCACAACAACAAATGCACGCTAAAGATCTCTTCTTGACAACGTGTCTTTTGAATCAAGGTGGTTCGTTATTACTTAGAATTGGACTTAGGCCTATCAGGTAAATAAAAGGAAGAAAAAGATTTGAATGATTCACCTGTAAGATGAAAAGCTAGCTTATTTGCAAAATTGGTATAGAACCTGATTATGCAAATTTCGTAATCGGTACATTTATGGGAGAGAAAAGCGAATCTACGATTTGAGAAAGCTGAGAGTAAATTGGCTTCACTGGTTGCAACTTTTGCACTTCAAACAATGCATCCTAAAAAACAATTTAAAAAGGAACTTATAAAGTGTTGTCTTCTATTATGACTTAGTTTTCTCCCCAGCCCTTCTAATCCACCTCCTCAAATTGGCCTATATTTTTTCATCCCTTCTCCACAGTCATTGCAAATTGTTTTTTTTTGCCTTCATTTTTTTGCTTCCTAATAAAATATAGCGCTAGTCCTTAAATTCTAGCCTAAAAGCCTAGTAATTTTCTCAAAAATTAAGTCAAATGCTGTGAGATATGAGGGTAGGATGAAATTTAGCCGCGTCGCAGTTACGGTCTTGTTTAATTTAAACGACTTCCCCATAGAGCAATAAAGCTCTTGAGGTGCAAAAACGCATCGAATATGTTTAAAAGAAGCCACTCAAAAGGAGGTGTCTTCGGAGATATGAGTCGGTCTGTTGTTGTCAATGCACCTATTTGACAATATTATGGCAACTTCAACGGTCAAGAACAAAGCATAATTCGGTGATTTGGTGTCCATGTCACATCCGCAAACAAAATAATACATCCGCCTGCAGTCCCCTTACTGTAGTGCGGTCATCTTTACTTCATGAGGGTAACTCTTTAACCATCCCACCTGTCAGACGGAAGCAATGTGGCGACAAACTCACAAGTGAATAATCATCACTCTTGCCTTCTGTACCCAAAAAAGCAAAATTGCGTCCATCTAGCATTTTCTTCCAACCTCAAAATCAGGCATAAAATCAGTAGGTATTGAGTCAGCTATTTCGATGGATCCTTTTTAGACCATTTGAAGTAATCTGGTTAACGATATGCCCGTAGCAGTATTCTACAACTTTCTGGGTGAGCTTCAAATATGGGAGCGTTGTCGACATTTAGTGTGAAAAATAAAGTGATACATGACTGCGTGCTTTTCTGTTCACCCTATTTCAATCTCCTGGTTTTACAAACCTCCTGTTGACGTATTTTGAGACAATCAGCTGGATGCATTTTCCTTGGCTACTCCTCATTGTTTTCTCGATGCTAAACAGTTAGAATGAAAAAAGCTCCTTTAAAAATGGAAACATTGTTCCATGTTTTTAGTGCGTAATTTTGGCGATTGTCTTGAATTTGCAGGTGACATAAATGTGTGGATTTGTGCGGCGACAGTGGATAAAAAAAGGTGCGGACATTCTAAGGAGGGTAACACCGAAAGACGGAATCAAAACCTGCATGGTTAAAGTGTAAACAACTATTAGTATGGGACCCGATCAAGATCTCAACCCGTGCAATCAAATGATGAAACCTTCACTACGATTGCTTTCATTGTCGATACGTCTGATTAAACTGGTTGACTGTTTGGCCGATTGAAGAAGGATCTTTAAATGACGCAAGTAACTGGGTACCTAATCCTTGTGATGTGACATAAAAACAATGAAGGGCGAATAAAAGGAAGCAACGTAAAAGGTAATATCTCAGCTGTGTTTGACTAGGAGGTGACTGCAGGGGAAAGTGTCACGTCTTACTGGATCATATATTGACAATTTCATTTTTTGATGAAGAACTTGACGATGGTCTCTAACGTCTGGCTGATTAACCTGCCGCTTAACCCCCAAGACATATAGAAAAAGAGGTGAGAAGATGTATCTTGACTCGTAACGGATCTTCATTAAAAAGTTATGAATAAATTCGACCTTTTTAAAATATCCATTGATTACTAATGCTCTTATTTATCTCTTACCTTCTCCTCTGACAAATAACGCGGTAGCATAATTTGCTTTCTTGGATTTACCTCGAAATTGCTTCAATTTTACTGAAAATTTTTCCTTAAATTAATTTAATTTCTTTCAATTTAGGCAATCGCACTGGGTGCCCTCTATCATTCATCCGCTTACTTTGAATACTGACGGATATGACTTCAGGTTTCTGTCTCATGAGTTAAACACAAACCCAGGCCAAAAATATCAAAGCCTCGTGCAAAGAATTTGCCTAGTAATTAGATGGTGGCAAAATTCGTCATACGGAACCGTTGTAAGAGATTCTGCGTTTATCTATTTCTTCCTTAAAACGAGTAGACTCATCGGCTGAGGGCATCTTTTACTAGTAGTGTTTTCGAATGAAATGCGGTGATCAGAGGAATCCTCCTTCGGAGGTCGATGACGTCCACTGCATCAATGAAGGCTATTACCCTAAGTGCTGCCGATTTCTCACCAACCCATAGTAGTTAGTATTTGAGTAGACGGTGTTTTTTTCCTTCTTCGACTCGAAAATAGTTCTACTATGCAGATTTTGTCAAGATTTCATCCATTCTAATGAATTTTTCACTTGAACGAACGAGGTCACTGCAGATATTGGGACAATTTTTTGACTCCTGCAGAGATCCTTAGATATCCTCCATGCTTGCAATGCTAGGGTGGCAGAAAAATAAATTGTTTGCATTAAAGAATTGTTTTGCATCCGGTTTTTGTGTTTGTTAGACCAACCATTCATTGATTATAACCTGCACAATCGGTAACGATGCTTTGTGCATTGTGTACTGAGATTATGACCAGTAATCTCGCTAGTTCCAATTCCTTGTTCATAATAGCATGTGGAAAGACCAGAATCCTCCACATTTCGTTCATTGGAATGGGTGGATGACAGACGTCACACTGCTGTTAGCATCAATAAAAAAGTTTGTTAAGGATTGGACAAAACAAACCGGTTTCTCCCTCTTCAACTCGTTCTCCCCTTCCTCATCCCTAATACCAACATGACCTTTGCCATTGGCTGTATTTTCTCTTGGCACTACCTGTTTGCAAGGAGGCCTATAAATTTCAGCAATAATTTCATGTTTTGTTCTACAGTCTTTTGTTTCGGGGAGTGACTTGTCATTACCGTACGGGGAAGTGCTGTGCATCCATATATTAAGAGAAGAGTCGAGCAGCAGGGTAGAGCATTACTGGGACAGCGCTATGGGAGGACACTACTTAAAATGACATCAAAATCAAACTTGCAGTTAAAGACAAATTACACTTTACCTTCACATAATTTATTGGAAAATGGATGAAAGATGAGGACTGTGGACCCTTTGCAAAATCATGACAAATCGGTTGCCTAGATTTTTAGAATCTGGATTCGTTCTTTTGCTCTCCTTTCTTTTAATGCCCAAAAAAATAGGAGAACTACTTGCATGCTGATAACCAATGAAATCACTGCCACTGGCTTCCGCGCTTGAACATGGACTCCATAGGCACGCAAGCTTGAAGCTTAATCTTTTTTGTTTAATGTCAGAATGACCATGTTGAAGATAATTATCTGTTGCTGTTATTCATGTGGTCGAGGAGGTGGAGGGTGATGGTGAGGTTGTAAAGGGAATAAGTTACAGTTGTCAGTGAAATTACTAGCATTTTGACAGAATCAATGGAACTGAGCAGGCGATCAAAGTGCTTGTTTTGTGCACCCACGAGCTTGGCTAGGAAAATGGATAAACGCTAAATCCTAAAACACTGTACAAGAAGGCTAAACGAATTACCCCAAGTATTTAGAATGCATTTTGAGATGATATTTGGAAATTTCACACCTGAATTTACTTTGATCGCTGGCACATGCCCGTGAAGCCAGTCAGCTTCCCCTTAGGATAAAAGTTAGTCAAGGAGTCAGCATTAGTGTCATTAATCTTCTCCTTCAGTACCTTGGGACTCTGCTACATACAAACGCATTGCAAATTTTGTGGTTGAAAAACTTGCAAGTGGTCCTATTTTCATCTTTCTCGGTCCGCGATAATCCACCGAAGCTTCATCTCAACACCTACTAACTCAATGTAATATTATGCTTCACATTAGCCAGCAATCTTCTGGTGCTTCCTGCTCTCAAAACTCATCTTCAGAACTAGTCGCACCGCCAAATGTAGTGTCACGTGGCAAGTGCGGGCAAGTAGAATTGGTTTATACCACTTTGCCGCCTTGTGGAACTTACGGTTTCATTTTATTTGGAGATCAAGTCAACATGACCATTGAACAAACATCATGCCATTTACTTTCTAAGTGTAAAAAAACACGCATTTAATCGAAATTATCATTTGTAGTAGCCAAAGATTACCAGCAACTTCGGAGAGTAGATGCCTAGCCTGAAACTTGACTTAAGTGGCACTGCGTCACACGACATTTGATGAGTTTGATACCAACACAGTGAATGTCAGAGAATCTAATGTCAACCTATTTGATGAGAAAGTCTTAAATAATGGTTTTGCACTGTAGCATTAAACATGACGACCGGCAGTAAGACGGTAGGAAATCACAACACATAAGAGATAATATAAGCAAAGGGAAGGGCTGAAGTGCTACTAGCCTGGTGCGAAGACTACGGCGTCTAGCGAAAGTAGGAGCTACAGCTACGCGAGAGCCCGCGTAGTTAAACTCTGGGCTCGACAGAATATCGAGGTATTCCATAATCCCTCCCCTCTTTCCAGCGCCGTCCACAACCTTTGCACTGTTCACCCGCCTGCATCAGTCATTACAATACAGTCGGTGCTTTAAACAACCACCTCTGAATCAGCTACGCCAGTCAGTGAATGTGCGTGCAACTGCAGATGCATTTGTTTTCAACGTCATCGATGCACCTCATCATTTTTAAAACGTCGGAAGTTTTGTCCTGTTAGCCAAATGGATTGTCATGGGGCTGGGGAAGGGGAAGGCGAGGTGAATTGCGCTGGCTCTACAACGAGAGCAACTCATCTGTTATACCATCACTAGTCATAAAGAAATTACTGCTTCACTGTTGTCACGTGCTTACAGGTGATTGACGATAGCCATCAAAGATCATTAATTTCTACTACTTCACTTCTTCCATGTCCACTGTACAGTGTGAGTTTCCGATTGTATGCCAGTTAATCGACTGGCTGATTAACTGACTTGTGATGGAAAATGGCATTTGTGCTGTAAACTACGCTAACTCAACGGATAAGTCACTATTTTTCCCATGCGATACACTGCTGCAGTACTCCATTGCTCACCCACCGCTCCATTTACACCACAATATGCGTGTGTTGTGTGTGTAAAGTTGAATGCAGGCGTAACTGCTCACATGCTAAAAACAAAACAACTGAACCTGAGTTCGATGTTCTCAGTGGAAGCGGAGAGAAGGTGATAGTGTGCAAAATGGCAACTCCTCCTTGAGAGAAAGCTGAGACTAAATAAGTGATAGAGTTAATAAGAAGAAGGTCAAATGCGTGGTCTTGGAAACAGTGCAAAACTTTACCTAGTCCGTCATACACACCTCATCTCTCGCAGCCACGTTGAGTGTAAGTACCGCCAATGAGAGGACACCATAATGCGTCTTAGCATGCTAGGTATGAAAATTAGAGGAGGAAGGTGGGAAGGCGGAGAATGGGTGTGTAGTACTAGGAATCTTGCCTTCTTTTTTAATCCCCTTCTTGTACTCCAAGTTTCCCTCATAGTATGCCACCGAGTGATGATTGCCACGTATTCTTGACGCTACAGAATTATACGGTCGCATGCAAATGGAGCTGCCTAGAAGTAGCCGCTGGATATGGAGATGGCTAAGACCATGTAATTTAGATGTCTTTTCATAAATTGTAAGACAAAGGATCTTACAGAAGTTGGGGTCGTAGAATCCCTATGCCCCGTTTAAATAGTGTAATAGATTATAGATCGTGAGGGTGATTACTCCAGCAACTGAACTACTCTTGTGAGCTAAGCCAAACCCATACGTCTTATTTTAAAACAAAAAGGGCAAACATTTACTTGGTTGCCATTTACCATCTGTCAATTATAGCTGTCACTGGAATATGGACAAGTATTTGAAGCAAATCCCAAAATAATGCGGCAAATGACTTACCGCTGTAAGAGAATATGATATCACGTAAGTTTTCCATACTTTCCACCTCTATGATGACAGAATGCAGGGTTTTGAAATTAATAGGAGGAACCTCCTCAGTAGACGGTATACCATCAGTAATGTTAATCCAGCCTTGAAAGAGAATTTTTTTTCAGCTTCCAAGTTGGCATTCTGTTAGATACAAGGATGCCACAAAGAATTGTGCCCTGGCATTCTTCCTAAAAGTCAATGGCAGTGTGGGAAAATTTTTGGCTCTTTTGCTTGATGGGACCTTCTCAGGTGTTCGTGAAGACCTCTTAAGTGTGGGTGGGTGAGTGAGTCCTTCGATCGAAGGATGAATTCTCGGATAGGTATATGGGTGGTGAGGGAGTTGCATTGTGCCCGCGATATGGGCCACCCTACACCTGACACTGACCTTAATACAGTCAATGAAGTCACTGCTGTACTGCTAAGAACCGTAAAATTAGTGTAACGTGTTTACCCTCGAATTGAAGGAGATGAATAATGAGGTAATTGAGAAAGCGAAAATGCTGTCTACATAGACTTGTTTTTGAAAAAAGTTCTTGCATATTTGTGCTTATCTATATGTTGATACGCTGGAGTGAGTGCGAGTGGTGATATAATAGAAAGCCATAGCATTCCTATTAGGTGAACTGCGTTGCATTTTTGGTTCCCGTAATCATCTATTACACTCCACTGAATAAACTATTTGCAAAATCCATTGCACTGAACTTGGTGGATAATTGCACAACCGCTGGAGAGTCCGCTCACCCCGTAGATGTCCAGCCTACACAATTCAGTGTGGATCAAAGCAGCACTTTTAGGGGCCTATGTTGCCACAAAGTGGGAGGGGATGCAGTCTCCGTTGAAATCGTGGCTGAAGCAATAACAACTAGCCCAACATCAAGTGGATTGCATAAAAGGGAGGGAATGTTTGCGATGATAGACTACGTGTAAATGAGTGCGAGTCGAATACAGCATTACCTAGTGGGTGAAGTCGATCGGTCTGTGAGTCAGTGGACTCGGTATTCCATTTTATGAAGAGTTCATTTATGAGATACCTTTTATGCGTGGATCATTAACGTAATCCAGCTGGGTCCAAGCGCGCGTAAAAAATTCAAATTAATGACGAAAGTAGCTCATTGAAAGTGGTCTTCAAGTGGTCGTCAGTAAATTTGCAAGAGAAAGATCAGGACTCTCGCCTACCTCCAACGTTTGGTGATAAGCGATCATTTACGACTATAAAATTAAACGGAAAGGTTCTTTCAATGTTACATGAATACGAGCGCACTCGCAGACGGCGATAGGCTTAGTGATAGCCTGGTGTTTAATATTCGGTATGGGATAAACACAACATTCAAAGTGGTCTTTACTGCCACTGCTGCACCTTGACCCATGTGATGGAGAATCTAACCACCTTTTGTCTATTTGCAGGAAAAAAGCGAATCCTAATGACCCCAACACCCTCCGCGAATTAGTTATTAATAACCTTCCCCGTCAGATAACACACGACAACATTCGCGACTACTTCAAAGAATTCGGTGCGGTCACCAAGGTAAGGGTGGACAGACAAATGCACCAAGCTTTCGTGACATTCTCCACTGCAGAGGCACACCGAATAGCAATGGCGACGGCTAAAATTCACCGTGAGAGTAGAAACGTTCGCGTCTCCTTCCCTGATGATTGTAAACAGAGGTACGGAAGTCCTTGATCATTCACTTTTGCACCCAAAAATATCCCACTATTCGCATTATTGCATTACCGTAACCCCATGTTGGTTTACTTAAGAGTACCTCATTTCATGCTTCAATCTTACGTCTAAAGTCCAGTCTCCGATTTCTGGTGGCGGGTCTGCACGAGGGGGATTAGCTCAGTTTGGGGGAAAATGTGCCAACTAATTACTTCTCTCAGGTAGCCCAACCCATTTAGTTTGTTTACGCAAGTTGAATAAGCAGTTTTATTTGGCTTCACCCAGTATGAATAATCAAGCGCTAACCTTGGATCTTTTTTCCTACTTTACTGAACATAGCAGCATTTTCGATGTTCGACATTCAGTGTTCGGTATGCGGTATTTGCGAGATTCGAAATCGCCTCCATTGCCACCACTGCATTCTGACCCATGTGATGGAGAATCCAACCGTCTTTTGCCCATTTGCAGCAAAGAAGTGGGTTCGAATGACACCAAAACCAGCCATCGGGTGCTTCTTGATAACCTTCCCCCTTGGACAACAGAAAACGACATTCGCAGCCTCTTTGGCAAATTCGGTGTATCCGCCAAAGTGGAGGTGGATGAACAAACGCGCCTAGCCTTGGCGACTTTCCCCTCTGCAGACACGCTCTATGACGCCATGTCGGCGGCTCCTTTCCGCCTCAAGGGTGTGAACCTCCACACCTACTTCCATGAGGATAGTGTATGGAGGTAAAAAAGTACTTGAGTATTTACTTTTACATCCAAAAATATTTCACTACTCGTAATAATGCATTTCCGTAGCACCGTCACGCTCCGCTCGAGGTAGTCTTACCATAGGCTTCTTTCTCATATTTAATGTCTGGTCTCCAGTTTTTGGTTTCCGGTGTGTGATTGGCGATAAAAATTGAGGCCTTGCCAATACTGTATGGGTGACATTAGCTTAATTGGAGAAAAAGTGTGTCAACCACTTGTTTCTCTCGGGTCTCCAAGCCATTTCGCGAGTTCAAGCAAGTTAATTCAGCAGCTTCATCTGGTCTCACCTCATTTTGTGATTTGTGTCATCTAAAGAAAGAGTAGTGAAATTAAGTTGTCGACACGTGTCAAAATTGGAGCCTAGTGTGAAGAATGATATGGTGGTCTTGGATCTTCTCCCACCTTCACGAAACAAAATGCCGTTTTCCATGTTTGGTATGCGGTATTCGCGGGATTCAAAGTCGTCTCCACTGCCACCACTACACTCTGACCTATGTAATGGAGAATCCAACCGCCTTTTGCCTATTTATAGCAAAGATGCGCGTCGTAACTGCACCACAACTGGTTATCTGGTGCTTCTTGGTCACCTTCCCCCACGAACAACAGAAAATGACATTCGCAGCCTCTTTGGCAAATTCGGTGCATCCGCCAAAGTGGAGGTGGATGAACGAAAACACGTAGCCTTGGCGACTTTCTCCTCTTTGGGGACCCTCCATGAAGCCCTGTCACCGGAGGTTTTGAGCCTCAAGGGTGAGAATCTTATATTCATCAACGAAGGCGATTATGGATGGAGGTAAGGGAGTACTTGATCATTCACTTTTACATCCAAAAATATCCCACCGTAACATCGTAATGCTCTGCTCATGAGTGTCACTTCACGTTTCAATCGTATATCTGAAGTCCAGTCTCCAGTTTCTGGTCCCCGGTCTGTGATTTATGGTAAAAGTTGAGGTCTTGCCAATCCTGCACCAGTGAGATTAGCTCAATTTGAAGGAAAGTGTGCCAAGAACTTGTTTCTCTCGGGTCCCCAACCCATATAGCGTGTTTAAGCAAGTTGATTCAGCGGCTTCATTTGGCTTCACCTCATTCTGTGGCTTGGATCATCTGTAGGTAAAAGAGTGACAAAATTAAATCGTCAACTTCTATGTCTAAATCTCATCAATTAAGCGACATTAGAGCTGTATGAAGAAGCTTACCCAACCTTTGGATACTTTCCTACGTTCACTAAACACAGCACCATTTTCCATGCTCGATATTCGGCATCCAGTATGCAGTATTCGCAAGATTCGAAGCAATCCCCACTGCCACCACCGTACTCTGACTTGCGACTTGGGGAATCTAGCCGTCTTTTGTCTATTTGTAGTAAAGAAGTGGATTCAAATGACACCGAAAGCAGTTTTCAGGTGCTACTTCATGACCTTCAACCGGGAACAACAGAAAACGGCCTTCGTAGTCTCATGGGCAGATTCGGTGTCTCCACTAAAGTGGTTGTGGATGAACGAAAGCATGAAGCCTTGGCGACTTTCTCCTCTGAAAAGGCGATCCAAGCAGTGTGGATGGATTATTTCCTCTTCAAGGGTGTGAACCTTGGCATCTCCTTTCCTGAGGACAGTGAAGAGAGGTACAGAAATACTTGATCATTTACTTTTACATTCAGAACAATTCCACTACTCGTTTTACTGCATTTTTATAACATCAAAGTGTTCTGCTCATGGGTCTCATTTCATGTGCCTTTCCGCTGTCTGATGTCCAGTCGCCAGTTTTTAATTTCCAGGCCGTGGTTTGTGGTAAAGGTTGAGCTCCTGTCCATCCAGTAAGAGTGGCATTTTCTCAATTTGAGGAAAAAGGGGGCCAACCACTTGTTTCCCTCAGGTCCCCCAACTCATTCGGTGTGTTCAAGCGAGTCGATTCAGCAACTTTGTTTGCTCTCACCTCATTCCGTGACTTGTGTCCTCTGGAAGGAGATTAGGGAAATTGAATTTTCGACATCAGCGTCTAGATTGGAGCCTAGTGTGAAGAATTATCGCCTACCTTTAGATATTTCCCCACCTTCAAGGAATATAGTGCCGTTGTCCATGTTCGGTATGCGGCATTCGCGAGATTCGAAGCAGCTTCTACTATTGCTACCGCACTCTGACCCTTATATGGTGGAATCTAACCGCACTTTGTCTATCTGCAGTAAAGAAAAATATTTCAATCCCGATGAAATCCGCCGTCAGTTGATTCTTGATGGTCTTCCCCCGCGAACAACGGAAAACGACATTCGCAGCCTCTTTGGCAAATTCGGTGTATCCATCAAAGTGGAGCTGTACGGATGGACGCGCCGAGCCTTGGTGACTTTCTCCTCTGCAAAAGCGCGCCAGGAGGCAGTATCGTCGGCTCCTCTCCGCCTCAAAGGTGTAGACCTTCACATCCTCTACCCTGAGGATTAAGAATGAATGTGCGAAAGCACTTGATCATTCACTTTCACTTCCTATACATCCTATTGTTCGTAATAAGACATTGCTCTGCTTACGCCAGTCATGTTTCGCGTTTCCTCTTGGTGTCTGGGGTCCGGTAATTAGTCTATTTTGGGCGTAGTTCTTCCAAAATATTATTTACCTCCCATAATCCCCTTAAAAAATAAATCTTGCTTTTAAGCGATAGCCTTTGTATGTTTTGTAGGAATGGCAAAGTGCAATGGGAAAGTATCAAAAAGGTATTGAGCAAAGTTATTTGATCATCAAAATCACAACTAATGCAAGCATTAACGCCGCAAACTAGGAGTAAAATTTGTCTTCATGCCAGTGTGCTTAATTTTGCAAAATAAACACTCCCAGAAAATGCATATTAGTCTTAGCAAACGCTCGTACACGATATATGACTTTATTATAGCATTGAAAATACACCCAGCAGATAAGATTTTGGGAACCAAGCATTCATAACACCAAATTAATTGCATTATTAGAGGTGTACACATCAAATTATATTGCTTGAACAATCAAAATCAATGCTACTAAGTCCATTCTATAACACTCAGCTAGTAAATGCATTTGAACGGAAGAATTATGAGACTTCTACAAGTATTTGGAAATGAAGTACAGTGAAGCATATTGTAAGCGGAGTATGCAGAAACTACTATGCATACAATACAAACTCATCAGACGGAGAACGTACACGGAAACAAAATGTCCCGCTGCAGTCCTTGACCTTGATCATAATTGGTGAATATGTATAATACAGAAAAGATGAAAACCCCTTTATAGTTTTGCAGTATGTCTCTGGCTGGTCTAATTAATATTTTTTTACGTTTCTAGTCATGTATTATTAAGGGTGATTTAGTTCTAAATTTTGCCAAGGTCTACTTCCGTGATCCGACTGGGTGAGAACCCAAGAAGTGTGGTCTACATGTCAATCGCAACTCACAAATTTTAGACAAACAAAATTACCGAAAGCACGCAAAAATAGATACATTAACTCCAGTGTTGTTTTTGGTACTATAGACCATTCAGAGTCGCTCTACTTTTGGAGTGTTTATAATGCCATTAATATCACGAGGTTGGTCAGATGTGTCTGCATTTCAAAAAGCAAAAATTGTTAGTAAATTTAGAACCGAAGCAAACTTTCCAGAATTTTTTCATAGGTAATCCTCAACGATAATTCACACACATTTCTCCCGTTGAAAATCCGATTTAGTTTGACTCTATTACTCCTCAGCATTTAGCGACATCAAAGGGTTTAGTACGCTGCTATTATTACTTTTATAAAGAACTGGGCTTTTCAAGTTTTCCCGATCTTTGAAAATGATTTAGTAGCAACTATTCCCTCTTTGGTTTGGAAAAAACGCTTGTAAAAACTTTAAATAGGATGTGACAATGCTTCTTAGACTATGTGACATGACGCATGCATAGTGAGATGATCAGCATGAGCTCGAGAGTTGCATTGAAGAAATACGATATTTTCCTATAAATGAGGTGAAGAGAGGAGGCTAGTTTGAAGACCATGAAATGGCCACTCAAGGAGTATTTAAACTCGCTAGATATCAACTTATTTACCTCTCCACCTCCACCTTAAGCCTCCGTGCATCATGTGTGTATATACTAGACTAGGTAATTCTTAATTTGAGTAATAATTTAGTTGAGGAAGATTTGGATTTCACGACGGTTTAAATAGGAAAGCCCTGAAATAAAACATGTCGCTTTTGAAATAAGGCGAAATGGTCAACCATAAGGCTCATTCATGTCCCTTAAACTTTCCAGTTATCCAAAAGACTTTGGCAAGGTAGGAGAATGAAGAGAAAACTCTTCTTTTTGTAGTCGAGCGAGCCAAATTTAGTTCACTCCTTGCAATTAAATCTTTTTCGAAGCCTCAAACGGCCTGTAAGGTAAACTTGGGTAGTCACGATAATCAAAATTTAATAGAAAACTTGGCTTGCAACTCAAAGCCGGAAATTTCTTCCTATTATCCAGCGAGCTTAACATGCTTGGCATCAAGAGGATTCCAAAGACATGCCAAAATTTTAAAGCAGTCAGAAAATGCATGGTAGGTTGTAGATTTGGAGGAAAATGAGGTAAAGTAATAATAGGATACTTTCTTTTGACGGCTGCAGATGGTGCGACTACACTTAGTTTGTCTTTTCTATAAGAGCAGATCCGTTAACTGGCCTTCAGGGGTCACTGAAACAAAATTAACCGACCTTACTAACTGTGTTTGGTAACTGTGCCTGGATTTTGCCTCGTCGTAGACGCGGTATACGAAGGCGAATAGACCGTCAGCCTCCTCACTTTGCAAAAGTAGTGCATTGCTGCATCATTTTGGAGTTTTTCCCACTATAATGTAAAAATAATGTCATCATCTCTGTCAACAGGTGCCTTAAATGACTACGGTTTCAGACTCAAAAAAAATTACCCCTTTGACTCAACATTCTAAAGTGTCGCCTTTTTGGACTAGACAATATGTATATAGAGGGGAGTTTGAGTTGTCTCTTCTGGTAGAAGATGCCATCATCCGCACGTTTAAATGGATCCATGGAAGAATGAAGAGGGAAGTAAGGGGAGGGGCGGAATTGTTTCATTTCCTCAAGATGTCAGGCTGAATAGATAGGAGACAGAAACGCGCTTGTGAAACTTCAAACTTCCTATCTACCTCTTGATTTCTACACGATGAATTTAAGGTGAAGAAACCAGTCACTGATGGGCATCATTTCCTGACTTTGATAGGTTACGGACTAAAAATTTATTATCATTTAACCGATTCAAAAAGCAATTTGTAAGCATATGGGTCGGAGGCGAAGAGAATCTCTAGTTGGCGGTTGGGACCACCGCGATCTCTTCGTCCCCTTTCACATGGAATTGGCACTTGGTGCATTAATATGGTCACCGGTTCTGTACAAGCATGTGTGCGCGTTTAATCACTTTAGAATGGGTCCATTTTGCATGCGCCAGCACAGATGGACGAGTTTATGCATTAACCAACTCAATTTGGCCTCAAATTTGTCTAGTCAACCAGAACGCTCACATCAAAAGTGCAATGGCTTGGAGATGGGATACTTGAGGGAGTAGCGGCGGGCTCTCGTCAAGCGCCTACTAACTGATACCACTTATTCTTGAGAGAGGTGTAAACTTCGAGCCATTGTCATTGAAATATTAATTGCCCAGTCAATTCAAAAAGAAGTAAATAGGAATTTTTATTTGTGTCCTTTACTCACCTTTTTGTGTAAGAATAAACTATTAGTTTTGCAGATCAAATCGGAGATCCGATAAATGACTTTACAGACAGTAGAGCAAACACTGCTATTAAATAATTTATTGACTTTGACCTTGAGAGGCTAAAAGTGAACCACACAATATAATTCTTGAGTTACTTAAAATTGCTTGCTAGCGTATTATGTGACAAGTTAGGTCATCTGGAGAGGAATTATTACCCGACCCACATGTTGGGGATTCTTAAGCTACTACTTATACTCTACGACTCGAATTACACTATGCAATGCTTTAATCTCATGTCTAACTCTATGCTTCATGGTGCGGACACTTAGGTCAGCACAAATAGTGCTCAATAGACTCAGCTCATCCGTACTACGGCAGTATGCTTTTGCTATAGTGCTATGAATTCTTACGACATCAAGGAAGACTTGGGGCACTACACACAAGTTAAATCTGTCAAAAATGAATGAAGTTGTTAAAACTGCTTGTTTCAGTAATTTTGTAGGATAAAGGCTAGCAATCTCAAGTAATCTGATTTAATTTTATCTATTTTTTGTAAAGGATTCACCAAAATTAAATTCCGCTAGTGTAAAATTTTACTTGGAAATATGGTTCCCGTAAGAGCCCTGCATTACGATGGTTGTTTAACTATAGATTCCAGTGAGGAGCCACTTTTGAATTGGCTATTATACCACGTCGGGTAAACTGGTCTTTGGGCCATGCCAATAGCGCGGATGCTTCCCATATGTCAAATATGTTTTCTGTTTGAGTATTATGTCTTCTTTCGTCTTCACGAAAGTCTCGGAGCGCTACAGCCCCGCATATGATCAGCAAAAGCCTTGCCTTCGCCAATTTCATGCTTTTTGTTCCAAGCACAAGCACTGTTTTCTATAAGGAGATATATAGTATTAAAGATATGGAGGTTTAATTATTCTATAAATTCAAATGGCATAAATTAGGCCAAGAATGGAATGCAGAGTACTTGATTTTTCGAAAAGAATAGGAAGGCGCTCTTCAAAGCCCATGTCCATTTTATTGTTTAAGTAAACCAAGTGTTGCTGGACTTGTAAATATTCCATTATTTGACTATGATCCATATGGTGACTGCTTTTCTCGGAATCGGTGGTCTTCTAACAGCAATCTTCTGGCACTTTAATTCAAAGGAATGGTTTCGAATGATTTGCTAGTTTAAAAGGCCCCTTCACCAAGATCTTTAAGTCTTTAAGGAATCTTCTGGATCCGATTGTATCCATTGATAATTAAGTCTAAATCAAAGTGCTATCGTGTGAATTATCATTTGCCTCGGTCAAAGATGAGTAATCTTCAGGTTCTTCAAGCAAATGATCCGGAGGTTAATAGGTGTTTATTGCCTTGCCGCTTCAGGAACGCAGCTATTCCTGCTAGGAATTTTGCTGCGGTCGGGTTTAGAAGCACTGTATGGTGGAAGTCGACAGAATGAGGATAACCTTGCATTAAATCTGTTTATTAGGAGATTTAAATGGTATTTTTATTTTCCAAGCTTCCGAGATTCCGCTTTTTTTTCGTTAGTCATTGTAGAATGGACAAATAACATGAATGGGCAGCTATTTGTAGTTGTTTTGCAAAATCGTCTAACTAATTTTCTCCGTGTGTTAAGTTGAAGTCCATAAAATCACCAATTCGATAAAAATTGAAATTTATCACTTGAGAACTGTTGGCTCCATGCCTTTCACAGTATATCCGCATTAAGTATGTTAGTTCTGGTGAAGCATGTCCATTTTTTTAGTTGACAATTCTAAAATAAAGCTGAGTTTTATGATGCAAAATGCTTTCAACAGACGTGTGAGCAGATGGGCTTTAAGTAGATCTTTTGGAGGGCAATTCGTGCCAACTGTAGTCCTTTTTTTCCTCCCATTAGCATTGGCAGTGTTGGCGCTGTGAACATCTCCAAGTCTTAGCTCTGTCAATGGCCTTCCAAGCTTCCATTCGGCCTCAATGTTTCAGAAATCGAATTATTTTGGAAAAGCGCTAACACTGAAAGTATTAGCCAAGCACCGTTGCGATTGGATTAATTGTTTTGAGCACAACTGTCACTGCCCACGTGATAGACGTGCTGAACCAGAAGCACCAAAATAAGGGCATTGGTGATAAAAAAAACAGCAAAACAGTCTCTTATTTGTCGCAATTTACAGATCAATAGGCACAGGGTATTGAAGACATCTTGTCGCGGAAAAAATGATGCTCACTCAATGGGTCATTAAAATTTTTAGTACTTCTTTGGGAAATCTCGAAATTTTTTCATAAAACTGAGTAATTTTGAAGGAAAACCGAAATATGTCATTCCCTCTCTGACACCTGTTTCGGCAAATACAAACAAAAAAAGGAACCACTCTAGAAGGATAAAGAGATATGAAAAGAGGTGCCCTTACTGAGACCTGGTCAGCCTTAGTATAAAAAACTTTTGGAACAGAGGCAAGCCCATAGCGATTGCCATGCTTGCCAGATACCTTTAGAAACTGGAAGTGCCTAAACAAACACTATGGAGCATCACCGAGTCTTCAACATCACCACCTTGATAAGCTCTTCCCTTAGGATATCAGAGAATCTCAACTCAAAACCAGGGATGACAGATCCTACGGAAGCCAATTTATTATCTCCTATTCAATTTCACATTTATTTGTAGTGTACAGGAGGACTTGTCATGGTGACAGCTAACGAGGCACAATGCATTGACAGTTGATCGCACACACTTTTCAGTCTCCGTAATGCGCGTATCCACCTTGACCTCCTGATTAGGCTGTATGAAGGAAGAAGTCCCCTTCCACGCGGATATGCCATTGTAACTAGAAGTTTATTAGCAGTCTAAAATTTGCTATTTATGCTCAATGAGCGGTAACTGGTTTGAAAAAAGTAGCAGAAAAATCTGATTTTCCAACAAAATCCCCGGCATTTATTCGTTGTGCTCCATTAGAAGTTTGGTTGGTAAATTACGCTAAACCGGTCAATTCAACCAACCAAGTTTGAAAAGTCGACTGCTTAATCTCAACACCTGTGCTGATTTCACGAGCTTACTGGTCAACTGTCTATGCCATTTCGCATATCATCTGGCGATGATCTGGGGCTGATGTCGGCATCAGCGTGGGCATGTATCACCAGACGTACAAGGGCCGAGAAGGTCGAGGCTGAGAATGGAGTGAGGTGGTATCCCCAACATTCTCCCTCTAATTTAAACTAAGGCGTCATCCTTTTCATAGGGAAGTTTGCCTTGAACTTTGTCTAATTTGACGATTTGTTAGTTAGGGGTATCTATAAGGTGAAACCTATGGCTAACAAGGTCCAGTTGCATTCACTAGATGGCGACATCTCAATCGCATTATCTCCGTCCGCGCTACACCAGATACAGCGCAAGCATGGTCTTCTGGACATGAAGCGGTTCGTAGGAGAACAATAAATCTTTTGGGGATAACTAGCCCTATGTTGACTACTCTACGATGATTTTAAATGTAAAAATCATTTTACACGAAAAATCTAAGTGGTTAAAGCGAAGACGAAGTTGACAGTTTTTCAGACCAACTGTCATTTGTTAAATTGCCTATGGCAGCCAATTGTTTAAAAGGCACCGCGACTTCTCCCCTCCAGATGATGAGGGCTGTAAACCAGCCGATCCGGTATCGCCCACCTTAAGTATGGCTGACACAAATTCTCACCGGCGTAGTATTTACCCGAGAGTGACACATGACACCCACTTTGTAGAGATGTACTAAAGTGCATCTTCAAACACGATTCTCCCACTTTCGAGTGATTTCGCCACCAGAATGAAATAGATATTTCAATCAGCCCTCCATGTTTCGGATTCTACCAACGCATACCTCACCTCGCCCTAATGCTATGCACATTCTATAAGAAGCAAGGTCAACTCTGCTTGTAAATCAAACAAGTTTAACTCACATTGACCGGATTTAATCGACATTTAACGACATGAGGGTAGAGGGAGAGAGCTCCATAAGACGTACAATACCAATGGAATGGCGCCTATCTTTGCTTTACGATGTATCCGTATGAACAGTTGCGAGCTTTTTATAAGTTTTCATCTCCACTGCAAATCATCTCTGAAAAAGTGCTTGAACTGACAGTCGTAACATCTGCAAGAAAAATGCTGACAAACCACCACAAATCTCCACTCAATTTCAGAGAAATTAAAAGGAAGTAGAAGAATGAAAGTTGGTAACACTTATTCTCAACATCATCGTCATCGAGTTGGCAGAATGTATGAAGTCCTAAAAAAGTGGGACGGAGTGTAAATAGAGGGGCGAGTAGAAGATGAGCAAGTTCACAATCAATCGAGCAGGGGTGGTTAAGAAGAGGCAAAACAAAAAATGGGAAGGGAAAGATGAGACATAGCAGGTCACCGCAAATCCACGACCTCAACCTTTCCTTCCGTGTGGACGATATGCTCACAGGCAGCATAGAGTTCTCGAAGGGAGGTGTGAGTGTGAAACCCTGTCTCTTTGCAGTCCCGCACGAAATCGAGTCCATAGTCGGGAGTGAGTGAGAAGTACCCCACTTGGTCGTGCTTTGGTGCGCACACAATGGCAATCGCTTCGGGCAGCATTAGTTGATAGGAGAGGTGGCAGTGTAAGTCCAATGAGGACATGAAAGCCGTCTGGGAGGGATGAGTGTGAATCCAGCCCATCACAATGAGCCCGTCCGATTCTAAACAGCCAATCAACTCCTCCTCGTTTGTTGTGGTGCAAGAGTCCGCTGTGCCAGTCTGTTTACAGACAATGATGTGCGAAATCACAAGTTTGTCCCCTTTAGGGCTAAGATGTCCACAAAGCGTGCCACAGGTCTCTCGATTTGCACGAGTGTTGGACTCAGCCAGTTTGAGGAATGTTGAAGCGAGAGTCCGTGGAACAAGGATGGGATTGAGGCCGTTTCGAGACAAAGGCTTTACGGTGGAGGGCTTGAGACTTCGATCAATTTTAGGTGGTGTGATACCGGACAGTAGTAGAGTAGGCGATTGAGGCGGTGAACAAGAACTGTTGGGGACAGGAGTAGCAGTGGAAGAGAGGGAAGGAGTGACGGATGAGGGTGATTGTGAGAACGAAAGACTTCGACGCCCTGAATTTGCTCCGGGCAGAACCGTAGTGGCATCAGCGGTAGCACCGAAAGGAGCGGCAGAGATCTTCTGACGCAAAAGCTCCTCGGCTTTGAATTCTTCCAGGATTTCTTTGTGCATTTTCTCGACAATCTTCAGCACACGATTGCACTCGCAGCACCATGAGTTACGGATGTCAGACCCACTATGCTTAAAGTCTTCACGCAGGCTGAGGTGATCAATAAAGAGGATGACAAAACGCTTTCGTAGACAATAGGCCTTTATCTTGCTACCATCTTCTTCATGCTCCTTCGCCATATTAAGCATGGAGCGACAAAAGCGAAAGTAGGAACTCAGACTGACGTTGTCGGCATAGTCGACATAGATTTGACGATTCAGTTCCTTCATTCGTTCATATGCCGTCATTATTTTTCCGCTGAAAATTCAAGAAACCAATTCTGAACAGGCAAAAAGATGGCAACACACTGGCAAACTTAAATCGCAGCAATAGCAAGGCAATAGGCAAGCACCGTACAGAAACTCAATGTCATGCAGGTACCTGAGGCGTATAGAAAATCACAAATTTAGGAGTTTTAGGCTTTTTCGGAATTATTAGTAAGGACCAAATCAGATTCCGAAAGACTCACTTATTTTGTCATTCAATAAAACGACAAAATAGTCCGCAATCTGTAGAGGTAAGATATGCAGAAGCAAAAGGCATTTTTAGGTACCGCTAAAACAGGATTTACCAGAACGAACATACAAGAGCCTGCCTAGGAACCCACGGTTTCTTGACATTTATGTGCAAATTAGTATGCCACAGTTTACCAATACTATAAACTACTAAGCGTTTAGGAAAAAATTAAACACAAGCAACATAAGTATCCTCACGATTACAAAGGACTGGATGACACAACAAGCTGCACCGTGCAATTTCAAATCACTTTTACCATTATTTATCAGAAAAAAAGTAAAATGCCAGGCCTACTCATTTTCTCCAGGATAAGGCGAAGCCATTTCAGCGAACCAAGAAAAGCTTTAAAGCAACGCGCAGGCCATTTAAAAACACCGCGCGTTGTAAAAAAGAATAAAACAATGAATTTTTCCAAAAATTGGGTTTAAAGCAAGAGAATGTGTGATTATCACTAAAAAGGTGTGCTCTACGTTGCGAGTGCCAACTCAGTAGCAAGTATCTGCAATTTTGTAAGTGTGCACAAGTACTTGTAAACCTTTCGAAATCTTTGTCCTTCCAAAACTTTAGATTTCACCCTGTTCAATAATATTTTAAATTAAAGATTCTAGTTTTTGACACAATTTTTATTTTTCCTAAGAGTTGCAAGCGTTTGTTATCATTGGCTCTATGTGAACAAGTGGTCTTTATACAAATAAGCTACTTTCAAGCGGTGCCGTTATGAATACAAAGTAATACAAATCCACAGCATGCAAAGAATTAATTGGACACGGCCCTTCTATCTCCTCTAAACCCTCACAGCAAACTAATTGATAAAATAAATGACACTCCCCTAATCTGTTCCAAAAAGCCTTTTAGTTGACGCTCATTGGGCCCATCAAGCTGGTATTTTATTTCACTTAACTTAGTACAGTGGCTGCGGGTAAAGCATGGCGCCGACCGATCTCCCACTGGCACGAGAACATGATGTTCACTGCGATGACTGACATTGTAAGCGAGGCAAGGGAGTGGTTTTGTGCGGACTTACACAAGTGTGTGTACGTAGGTTCATTCATGTGCCCGTACACCCATGCATGCATTAAAGCGCTTTAGGCTGGGTCACAAAAAGTACAGGCCTAGCTATTTGAGGGTGAGCAAAATATGCACTTTAATCATGCCCCCTTAGCACACTTTTTCAAGTTTGGCGACCTCGACTAGCAATAAAATTTCAAAACTATTAGACTTCATGCTGCATGACTAATTTCGTCTGTGATTTTTCCTAAGTTTAATGGCTAATACATTTGGCGTTAAGACAAATGAATATAGAGTTGCCAAAGTTAACAGTACAGTGAAATACGTGAGGACTTGAGCAATGGTGTACAACTCACTATAGGAGTATCAGTTGTCGGACTTTTAGCAGTGTTCTTGTATTATCAACGTGTTATTTAAATTAAGAAATTGCAGAAATAAAGTCCTCATCATCGATATATCACTGAATTTCTCAGACCATGTATAATTCTAACAACTTTTTAGTTTTAAATATTTGTGAATGCCACGAATTCTCTTGCAACCAGAGCCAATCTTTATGGTGGTTAAAGAGCTACTGAAATTCATCCCTTTCTACTTGATCGTTGATTTATTCGAGGTGGAATCAATCTAATCTCGGTTGTGAAGTACAACATCCCCGTAGTCGGTGTGCCGTCATCGCAAGGTTACTCGTGATCTCGTAAGGTCGATGGATCGCCAAATAACTGGATATAGGCATCGAATAATTGGCGAACCGATCAGTTTTGAATGACACAACAACTCAGACATTATGGACTGCTGTTTAGCAGATTCTCTTGAGGTCGGGACAAAACATAAATTAAATCACTGAGACGACTGCGGATGTACAACAAAGTATTCTTTCAATTTTGCTGGAGACTCAGCGTCTTCTTTGAAATAGTTCAACAGGACATTTGACTGAAATGCTAATGCTATGAAAGACAATTGCACTCGGAATGGTATTGGCTTTTCTTCTTTCAGGTTGTGAAGGAGCCGATTCATTCATTCTGTCGGAACTTTTTGTGCAATAAGTTTAGCTTAAAACCAACTCATTCTGCTGGTCAATTCAAATTGGATATATACTTTACTGGGAATTTTTTTCTCCTCATTTTATCACAAATTGCCTTAAAGTGAAACATTCTTGCCTCTTGTTTTAATCTATCATTTGGTTAGATTTGGCTACTTACGAAGTTGAACTTAGTGTAGTGTATCAGGTATTTCCAGTAGACATATGTTCAAAAGGATCATTTATAATGAATGTGGTCTCTCATCAAGGAAGCCAGTCGTTGTTCCGTAGGCTTTTGAATACAACTAGTTTGGCACTCTTTACAGGCCAGACTTTGGCTTGGACAAGGTCGGAACCTGATCTATCAGAACCACACATTGCCATGCCTACTTTCTGAAAGACTAAAGATCTTTTCATACAAAAGTGGAAGATTTGTACAAAAAAGTAAGTTTAAATCTCCTCAAGTAAACCAATGTAAAGGCAAAAGGAAAGACTCCTCCAAACAGAAACATAAAGCCTAATAATGTGAAGTGCAGCTCCATACTGACCTTGAAGTTCAAGGTCTTCCTTGTACGGCCATAGTCTACGGATTGTGCTGCAATTTCTGTGATATTTACAAGAAGAAAAGGACAAATGCTCAACTTAACTTTTGTTTGATATCCTTCATCTAAGGCAATCCCAGGCACCTAATTGGGGTTGAGAAGGTTGTTTAGCTGGTTACTACCTCGTTATCAACAATGGGTGTTGACTTACCCATCGGAGTACAATTATCTGCTGGATCGACATCCGTCAGTTTAAAGAAAGTAAAAGAAATCTGACTGTTCACGAAGTGTCATGAAATTACTCTCTTACCGCTTGACGAAGGTCTAGAGGTGGAGACGTGTCTCTTAAGTCTGCATTCCTGTTGAAATGGGAGGGTCGAATTCGTCAATGCGACCCATTTTGGGCTATGAAAAGTGTGCTCTGCCCCGGAGCATTGCAAATTCTAACACACAATTCATAGTTAATTATCTCCCGCAGCAATGCAAATTTGGGCCAACGTGAATGTGTGCCAGTAATAAGCAGTTAGGGCCGTTGTTTTATCAACAATCCGTGTTGAGGACGTCAACACACCTCACTTCACTCATGCTGTTCGGACTCTCCCAATGACCGCGGCCAAAGTGTAAGGGATAACGAAGTGCGACAATCCATTAACACAGCCGATGTTCATAAGTGGCCCGATTCACCCACCCACCTACGGCCACGACGCTCAATGCCTCGTTTGGTGATTTTGCCGCCATGTCGCAGTCACTACATTCATGGCCACTTCACCAATATCTCATCGGTCTTCCTCTGCGTGTGCCGCACAGGATTTACCTCCCAAAGTTTTACCCACTGACCAAGTGTGATCAAAGATAATGCCACATTGGCTAAAGACTTTCTTTCACAAAGCTAGTAGATGTTGCCAATTGGTTTTGTGATCAAGGCTAGAAAGAGGGGCCTGGAAGACTGAGAAGGGCTTAAACGTCTTTGAAGTAATCATAAATATCATAAAAAAGTAGGCGATTACTTCATCACCCGACCCTTCCGCGGTTACTGGGGTATTGACTGAATTTCTGATTGATTGGAGGTGACCTTCACGGATCCGTCAGCAACCCAAATGAAGAGAAGTCTTAATTAAGTAGCAAGAATGCTGCAGTATGGAATGGGAGACAATCCCCGAAGAAGTCACACTTCAATGGATGCAAAATGGAAGCCTAGAATTCCAATATTTCTCGGTAGCATCTACGATATGCATTTAAAAAGATTATCTTCTTGCCTTATTTAGCTAAAAGGGCAGTCAAAACAGATCTGTCACAATCAAAGCAAAATTTCCTTTCTGTATTCGCTTTGAAGAGTCACAAGACTGTGCCATTTGAGGTGGCGTTGGGGTCAAAGTCAGCAGCCGCCTTTTAGTCAGGAGGAATGAGTAGAAGTTCTAAAATGAAACAGGGAAGAGAGAAACATGTTTCTTGCTGTCTCTGTTCTGCCGCCCTTCTGTAATTTTTCAGAACGAGTGGATAAGCTCTCATATAAAGTCTTCTTGTTTACCGGTTCTCTACCTTCGGAAACAAAAGCCCGGAAGTTGAATTCAAACAAACAAATGCTGAAGAAAGAAGAGGAGAAATTCTAACGTAGGGTGAGTGGTTCCTTTGTAAATTTGAAATCAAAATGTGTTTCAGAGGTGATCAAAAGATTCCACGATATAATATTACACGACTCTGGGTAATCAGCTAAATGACCTCGACAGAAGAACCTCCTGTTATTGAAGTGTTGATTCGTAGAAGAAGAAAAACAGCGTTTAGTGGGGTCATCTAAAGACTCCATCACACTAGATGTATGAAGTGGGCATCCGCAAAGCCTGCCTTTCTACACTGACAAATTTAGGGTGGAGAAGAAGGCAGCTTGAGGAGAACCGATCTGACTTTGTGGTTGCGATGCACCATTCCACCTTGTCCACCATCATGTTGGATGCTTAGACCCCACCTTCGAAGCCCATCCTTTTGCGCATTTATGAGTAAACCCTGGGACTAGAGCGCATAAGATGAGCACCTGAATCCATACAACTTCTACACTACTGAAATTCTGCAATTCTTCCGCGTCCCAATGTGATCATCTTGTATATTACCCATCTACGGAATGCTTTGTGAGAACCTAACACCTTCTGGAAAAATAGCCTCCCTGAAAATGACAAACGATCATTTTGAGCATTCCTTTAAAGATCCTATCACCGTAGAATGTTCGGCAGAAATAAGTCAAGAACGCCATCATGACAGATGGTTTGTGCGACACTCCTTTGTGATGGTCCTCCTAGTGGAGGAGAGCAATACCAGGATGACCTGTTCAAGCATGAGGTAAGTTGAAGGAACTTTGTTAACATTAATATGATCGGAGTGGATGCGAAAATTGACAGAAGCATATACCTTTACGTCGATATTCAACCGTGGCAGTGTCATCTGAACATGAACTGCTAAATCACTTCATGAAGGTGGTTAGCTCACACAAGGAAATGTTATCACCTGATATAGCGAGTGTGGATTCAGGAAGTAACTTCTTGCATCCCGTGAAGTGGCATCTGACTTGCTTCAGAGAGAAGGGTAGGGATCCCTAAAGTTTTATGCCTCACAGGCTTTACTCCACACCGTCTCGTCTTCAAAACATATTGCGCCAGGTGAAAAAGAGCATTTTAATGCGTTCTTTTGGACTCACAAGGTGATTAGACAAAGGTACGCAATCAGCTGAATGTCTGAAGATAACGAGGCACAAACCATCCCATCTACCGGTTAATAGTTCTGCATCACGGTCAAAGGGGGAATGGAATAATATGAGTAGTTCGTGAAACGGTTAGATAAGCGTTGTATTCGCAGTATGCTGCGACTTCTCAGAACTCTGGGGAGACAGACTGACCTCAACGAGTGTAATGCACACCAAGGAGGAATTGTTGCAAATCGACTTTAACAGGTTGTTGATGGTTTACTGATTCAAAAGCACTTCATTTTCATGGAGGATGCACCAACAAAATACTAGTCCTACTTACTTAGCCACTCAGTAATAACATTCATAGCGTTGGCAGCTTTACTGGGACATACCTCAACCTCCTTCTAGATGTCCATCTAATTTACAGGTTGGAACCTGTTGAACGCCACTTCGTCTCAACTTCACGTACTAGTTGAAGGGGAGGTAAGTACGGGGATGAAAAAATCAAGAAGAGCTCAAAGCTAAAGTACATTAAGATGAAGTTGGCTTTTAGAAATTTGCGTATGCCACCATGGTTTGGATATTTTTCACTGGTTTCTTAGACCTGTGTGCAGATAAGACAACTAATGGTCCAGTCATAATGACCTGGCATTTATTCAGCCACACGTATTAGTGGAACTTGCTGTGGGGGGAAATTTGCTACTGTTGTGAGGAGCAAATACATTTTTCCTCTCTTTGTGAATGGTACCGCTTGAGATAGAGGGACCACGGTTTTCCAAACAATCTTCCAAATGTTGACGCTAGAGTCACCCATCCATGGCATGGCAGCTATGGGAGAGAAGTTTGAAAAATCAAGATTCCTTGGGTTATTACGAGGCGATGTGTCATGCTGAGGATACCTTTAAGCTCTATTGAGTCAAAGGTGCTCCCTTGCTGAATGAGGATTTGGCTACTTTGGAGGAGTAACAAAGAATGAATTGCAATGACTCTTGGATATGGTACAACAATAGCATTCATTGACAGTCAACCGTTGAGGCTGTTTAAGCTCGATTCCTTACTGACCTCATAAATTCACCTAAACAAAAATGAATGGACAGGAGGCCTAAGAAATATGCAAAGTAAAATGTTGAAGAAATTGATGTCTGCAGAGTTTTTCAAGTGAACCATTTGTCCAGTTGCACTGCATTTGCTTAGACAGACAGAGGAGTGGGTGAACATGACCGAGTACTGATGGCCTTCAAGGCAGCGTATGGAAGTAATCCTAGATGGAGCTTTTCTGGTTAGATCATGATTCTTCAATGTTTCGCTTAATACACACCTTAAGGGGTGTCTGGGGAGGAGCACAACGTGGTTAGCCGTGAAACCATCCACATTCGAAGACATTGATGAACGATTGTCCCACAGACCACTCTACTAGGTAGCATCCATTCTATCTGCAATAGCTGATAAGATTGTGAACTACCACGACCATCTTCTAACCCATTCTAACTATTTCCCTAATACAAAGTTGGACAATTTTCTAGGAACGGTAGAACTATGTCGGTGAGGACGACACGCTAAGGAGGAGGAAGGAGATGGAGTTAATGAAACCCAAGCCTTCTGGCTGTTTCGCATAACCGGCTAATGACCTAAGTCTTTTCTGACAGAAAAGGCATTAACTGCAGTCGAGGAGTTCATCAAAATGCAAGTATTTTTCTATTTTAAGGGTGACGCTGAATACTAACCTGCCTCTCAATCTTCCTTGTGTATGTAATTGGATGGTCAGTTTAGTCTTCGTAACTTCGCACTCCTACTGGCTATAGTCTGTCGGTTCCTACAGACTTATACGTCTATTTCAGCTTATTCAGTGGTTCGTTTCACTTCTTATTGAAGTTGATAAGACTGGACGCTGAATTCAAATTTCAGCGTCACCTCATACCTCAAAATTGCTTCCACGAAAGAGAAGTTGCAAGTTCATAGGTGATCTTGTTAACAACTCTTAGTGCATCTTTTTGCGTTTTCCCTGTACTAAATCACCAACTGAACTTGACATCCTTTTAGTGCGTGATTTACAATCAACTCCTCCATCCTGTAAATGTTGTCTACTTCATTGGATGTTTCTCCCCTTGCACTACTGCCGGCAATTGTTGCTATTTTTTGTTACTATTGTCCCATTTAAGTTATGGGATTGATCTACCCATGCGACGGCAGTTTTCTCCTTCCTCTTAGGAATGATTGGATGTCAGATAATAAAGGGGATGAAGTAGTCGTATTAAGAGCTACAGCTTAGGTGATCAAAAAGGAACAATTTTGGAGGGAAAGGGACAAATACATCCGGAAGTAAGTCCGTAAATTGCCTATTTTTCCGAAGAAGTACTTTAAGAGGCCAACAAGGAAGGAAATATTTGCTCCTCCCGAGACATCTCATCTCATCGTTATACTCCAGGCAATCGAAAGTGACTTTCAGCACACCCACGGTCCAAATAGGCCAAACCGAATAAGAAAATATTTATTAGAAAGAAATCCTGAAATCAGCTTGTAAATCGGTATCATATACAGCTAGCTGCTTCACATACTACTGATAAAGGGGATTTCAGCGCTTCAACAAAGAAATTGCTTTCACTTTCCCATCAGCAATGGAAATAAAGAAGTCGTTTTCTGTTTACGACCTCAGGCGATTTGAAGTCATCAAAGATCTTTGAATCCCTGGGCTTTCCCTTTTTGTCCGCGTGGAATAACAGACCGATGATGTGTCGGCTGCGCCGAATTGAATTTTTCCATCCACCACCCATGTACCTCAATACCTTCTTAATCCAGCATTTTTACTGGCGACGAAACATGGCGGATCAGTTTGAAGGAATACTTACTCGATGAATAGATGACTCAGATTTAGAGGTATCAGTGCTCGATACTAGACATCGTCTTAGCGTCAGAACCAATTCCCAAATTTATCAATTAACAACGGTTCAAAGAAGCTACAACCTTACATATTTCTTGAGATCAGGAGAGATTAGTGTCCCAAGATCCACTTGTGCTAAATCAGTCGTCTAATTGGTCCATGGTATGATTTGGTAGGTTACTTGATATTCGCCTTCCCATCATCTAAGTAGATGGATGGATGCCTTGGAAGACCCTTGAGTTAATGCAACAGAGGTTAGATGCATGACGTCTGATAAGTCATTCACCCATGCCAATGATGAATCCGAACTGAGAAAACTGGCGGGTAATTTTTGGATGCCATGGCGACCAATCATGTCCCTGTCATCATTACGATGCTCTTTACTGTCTTCCAGATAAGGGGTGACAACTGCGTGATTAAACAAGCATATTTAAAGAACATGTGCATAGAGGCATGGAGGTGAGGGCAAAGTGAAAAAAAAAAATAATTTTGAGCAAAACCAGTAGCTTACTGTAGGTGTTTAGGGCAATGTTCAGCTTGTTATAGTCTTCTCGGTGCCCCAATAAGGGCTATTTACTCGGGCACAGAGGAGACATACTCTACTGATCAAGCCGCCTTCTTTTCTGGGGGACATCTAAAGTGGTGAATCTTTTGCTCTCCCTGTTCACCTTTCAAGATGTACAAGTAAATGGAAAGTGCTGATCAGAGCCAGTCAGCAAGGAATGTCTACCCGGTGACCAGCAGTTAAAAAGGCCTTCACCTTATCGCGGTTACCGGACGGACAATCCGTACAGACTGAGCTGGACTGGATTTGAAGGAATTAACTCAAAGTTCTCATTCAATGGCGTAAGAAGCATTGTTCAGTGGGCAAATATCTACCCGGTGATCCTCTTTTCCGTCCATTTTCACCAACTTGATAAGAAATAATCCGGATTACCGGGAAGATAAACCCACTGATCAAGCCGTTAATCACATGGAATGGAATAGAGGGGTAAGGGGATGATAAGTAGACATATACGAGGAGAAATAAAGGCATATATCAAACCAATAGGTTTAAGCATTTATTTACCCATTTAAGACTACAGAGCTGTGCCGTCTTTTGTACAACCGGCGCCATGATTCAACACGTTTGATAGAGAGAAACGGAGACGGCGCTTGTGTCGTTGGGTGTTCAGACTTGCCTTTTAAAGGCGAGTACTACAATTCAGGCAAACCAAAATAACGGAGCAGAAAAATTTAGGAACAGAAACGAAGCGCAGATGGTTAACTTACCGTTCAGCACCTGGCGAAGTCCAAAATCCGCTCCGGAAGCAAATGAAGGTGTCTTTTATACACCAGGCTTGGTCTTGAGGCTTTAGGTCACCACACAGCTAACCAACCAATCAGCTTATTGGAAGGTGCTATTGGGTCGTTGGTCAAGAGTGGCTAAGTGCATGTCCTTAACTCTACACTTTCACCAATCATGTGCACGAACTAGCACATTTATGCAGGTACGCACTCACGTGCACGCACAAACGATCGGGGTGAAGGGGTGAGAAGAAAAGTTCACTTTTTGGACACGTTCCGATGGCCTGAGGTTCTTCAATAAAAGTACTTCAGTATAAAAGCTGGAAGGTTGACCCAGTAAAAGTACAGTTGTGATGAGAAAAACAAAATGCAGAAGATTAAATTTAAGGTGGTATTCTATGATTAAAATTTAGAAGTGGAAAGAACTTCAACTTTTCCAATCATCACATTGACCCCTTATTGTTTATTTGCGCCGGTTTTGTTTCACCTCCAAAAGACCCCTAGATGGACCAATATCAGTTAGATTGCGTTAAGACCTACTCCCCATTTATCTTCGGTACTCGTTTGAAAGGCACATTTCACTGATAGGCCACTCTTATCTCTCTGGAAGAGAAATCTAACAGCACGAAACTTTAAAAGGATAGGTAGACAGGTATATGGTAGGTAGGTGGATGAATGGGTAGGTAGGTGTTTGGATGGATGTGTGGATAGAGAAAGAAGGGATGGATACAGAATGGATGAATTGGTGGATGGAATGCGAGGTAGATGGACACTACTATCTCTCCTCCACAAGACTTGTTTAAATTACCGACACTAAGAGACTTAAGGCGGATGAATTGCGGTGTAATGCGTTTCGTTTAATATTAGCTAAAGTACTTTCAAACACTGTCCTCGTTACCAGAATTAGTCGTTTTAAAAGCGCAGAGCACTTTATGCCACTACCACCTTTCGCGGTTTTTCTTCGTGCCTACGTAGTCAATACACTGCGTAAATACCGCTTTTGAAGGAGTGTGACCTAAATGAACTGGTAAAGGAATTTTCATTTGCATTTCTCTCTATTCAAAGTTTTAAACCATTCCTATTTCAACTAAATAAATTAAGCAACGATTTGTAAAATGCAGACGATCCGTTCATATTAATTCATCATAAAATGGAGGCAGAAATACACTGGCGTCCCACCATTCTTAACCTATTCTTGAACTCAAACCATTCTCAGAAAGTGTCGCTGCAACATGATGGATGTGAGTCGAACTAGTCTGCTTTACAAATACCTCAGGTTAATCCGTCCCAAGTCTCGCGGTAAAAAAATTAATTTGGTAAGACTGGTGAATTACTGAATGATCCATCACTGTTAGCAAGATCCTCCCTCGCCTGAACCAAAGTCACATTTCGGGGCATTTTTTCAGCCATTTCAATTTAGTAACACTACAATTCAAACCATTAACCATCGAGGCGCCCATAGTTTTGAAATGTGTAGCAAAGTAGCTCCAGTTAATGGCCCAGATCGTGATGCCCATGAAGCATATCAAACTCATACCTTTACGTGCTTTCTGGCACCTATTAGTGATAAATCGCTTGCTGTTTGGATAACTATATTATTTCCAACTTCTGCAATCATTATGAAGGATTTGAAATGGGAGGCCATTTAGATGGGGTTGTTAAAACTTGTCCTGAACCTTGAATAAGGTTTTTGCATTGAAAAAGGACCTACGACTTCAGGTTTATGGGAACACTGACCTCGAACCCAATTCGTATGCGAGCAGCGGCAACCTTAAAGGCTAGAAAAGTACAAGCGCACGCACTTTTACGGACTTGCTTATCAGTATTTATCCGACGGTCTCAGTCGACGCAAACCCTTTGGGTTCCCTTTTTACTATCATTTGTAAACGCAAACTAAATATGGAATTATTGCATTGTAGTTTTGAGGTTGAGGGTTCAAATGACTTATTTCTCACACTCAAAGAATGCCGATGACAGTATTTATCCTCCAAAAGCCTTAGGAACGAATAAATCTATAAGCGTACAAAATTTCTGCCTCGAAAAAGATGTGAAGTGTCACTACTTGGGCATCATTTTGACATTTTATTTCAAGTTGAAATTATCTCAGTGGCAGATATCCTGTGCCTCCTATTTGAACTAAATAGATAGCTCATGCAGTTACCATGTCAATGGAGGCGTAAAGGTCGTCAATTGAATAGTTGCTTCACGAAGGCTAGTTTAGCTTAAGTGCTAATACCGAACAATGGCGTGATGTTGAATCTCACCAAGAATGCAATGGCATTATGCGGGTAAAAACAACGGATTATTTATTGTCACTTCAGGGTAGTCAGTTGTGAAAAACATTTACTTTGTACTGTGAGTGGGTCTATATTAGGAAATCTGCAAAACATAAAACTCAAGGTACAAAATTTAAAGGTTTTATTGCCTTCTGGAGGTGGAAAAGCGTCCACTGTTCGTAGAATAGAAATAATCCCTTACAGTCCACCTATTTTATTCCAAATTTCTTCAATACCCTGCAGTTTTATGATTAAGTCTCCGTTTATGCGAATGAAGGAAGAATTCTGGTCACATTCACAAGGATATACTAGTTATTGATTCATGTTCAGTCGTGGTTTCTTAAAGATTCCCTAACTTCCTCTGTAATTGAGAGTAACTTTACACTGCGCGGATCTCTGAGTAGATTTGTGACCTTTTCCTTAGCCATGCCAATCGTCAGATTCTGTTTACAAAGCCCTACTAGTTCTGCAATACTTATTTCTTTTCTCTGAAAGGATTGCATGAAATCTAAAGTAACAAATTAAAATGGACTCATTTGCTGAATATTTTGTATGCTTGGTTACATATTTACTGTTTTTGTCTAAAAAAGTATGTAGTACCCTGAGACTTCCGGAAAAGTTGGGGCTACTGGCACGACCCTGAGGCCATGCCGCCGGGCGAAGGTACAACCTATGGAACCTTCAGTACCCGCATAATCACAGGCCAAGATAAACAAACTATCAAAGCATTACACAGCCTCTCTCTTCTTTTGAGCGTCTTCCCCGCTCTCCCATTGTTCAACCTCCTAAAGTGAGCGTTTAAGAAATCACCAGCAAATCAGTCACACGACTAATGACTTTTGCGTGCAATTGATGATATACTTGATTTCAACTTTGCTGATGTGTTTTGGCGGTTCCTCTGGCTCCTCAATTTCGTCCTGTTTGTGAAGTGTAAAAGGAAATAAATAATGTGTTGTCCTCATATAACTGGAAACCGGAGGTTGCACTACAGCGAGGCCATCATGCATCCCCATCGTTAGTCGCGAAATCCAGGCCTAAAAGCGGAGTCATTTGGTGAAAGGAGGGGTTTAAAGTAGTATCTTGGAGATAGGATTCCGTGTCTGTGCCTTCTTGCCACTTTGTTCCCACTTCGGTGCTGCCCAACCACATCTACCTGGGTTTCATTCAGCTAGTAGAGAGGTTAAGGTAGAATCGCATGTTTGCCTATATGACCTCTTCATACAGGTACGGTAGACAGTTATTACCACCATTCCTACAGAACGCGAAACTGGGGTAGTTGCCGAGGTTAAGCGTTATTTTCGGGCCTTCTGTTGAGAGATATTTCCATTCGATTTCCTTCTTTCGTCAAGTAAACATTGAGCCCTTGGTGATGAAAATCAAGTAAATGTCCCCCATAATGGAGCTCGTCTGCCGCTGTCAGCAATGCTGCATCCTGAGTCCACCAGAAGGGTGAAAACTGCTGACATGGCTCTGTACAATCTTCGGAGACTTAAGTGCCAATGTAATCAAACGCAAAGTTAAACGTCTATCAAAGCATTATGGTTGTATGAACTAAGATCGTCGTCACCTAGTGTTAACTAAAACTTTTAATTTTATCAAAGAATTTGTGCAAAATTTCGGTACCAACCAGCGTCAGGTCAAAAACCTTTAATATTTTTAAAACTGCACAAACCCTACTTATTCTTATTTAGTAGACCAGCAATTAATTTTTAAAGGCCAACAAGGAAAATATGACCGAGCGGTAATGCATATTCGTGTGAAATTATTATTAAACAAATGTATTAAAGTATGCATCATTTAGGTGGTTGATTTTACCAAGGTCCCACCCGCCAAGAGCAAACAAATATCCGAGATTGTTTATTCTTACATTGCCGCAAAATTTTTATTGGATGCTTAAGCATCAAAAAATCCGTTTTTTTACTGTCATGGGTTTTGTTGCCAGGTTTGACACGCCCCAGTGAGTTACTACTGAATAGACTGAAAGTGTCGTTGCTAAAAATATAAACTTCTTACGCCATTACCGGCCACGAAAAAGGGTACTTGGAATCACAGCATAACAGACAGGATACAGCCGCTACCGCGTCCGAGATTATTTAAATCCTTAAGGTGAATAAGTGCCAATCTTCACGGTACAGCATCTTCCACTCCACCAAGTCATTTTTACTTTACCTCTCCCCGGTGCTCCCTCAATTCTCTGTATGCACCCATTGTTGGACCTACCGCCAACACCTCCTCTCGATTGGCTACTATCTAAGTACTGCATTGATTTCCGATAATTGCACCTAATCAAATGCGGGTGGGTTACCAGTGATGCCTTCACTTTGCAATTTTTATTCTGTAGAAACTAATTAGTTCGTTTTAAGAGGAAATTTCTGCATCAATGACCTGTTTTTAAAAATTTCCTCAAATTGGACTTCTAAATGCCCATCTTCCATTTCTTGTTTTGAAGTCTTCTTAGACGTTTCAACAAAGATAACGCCGATGTTTTAGGCAAAACAAGTATTTTCTAGGGAGTTGATTTTGAAGACATCAACATGTCAAAACCCAACCAAACAAATTCATCCTTTATCACCTTGATAGCATAAAGGTGTCATTAGTTTTCATGAACTGGGCAAAGTAGAACAACCCTGGTGTCGAAAGCGTATAACTCCAGTCAGTGGATCATGCGTAGGTAATCATAATAGTCAATAAATTACTAGATTACTCCTTAATATCTCCCCTCTTTTGAAGGCTGTCCTACACCGTACTCTGAGTTGATCATCAGTGTCGAATTAGAAGACAGACGTCAGTGATCCATCACGGCTATTTCATTGTCTCATGAGTGTCATCGCATCTGTAGCCTGCCCGCTGACATGATGCCATCCAAGGCTAGACCTTCCTCTACAACGGACAATTCCTGGTGGGTGAAACACTTGCCTATATCTAGAGCCATCCATTGAAGGACAAAGTTTGAAGTAGGTCCGTGGAGTTGATACCCTGCATCAGTACTGCTAAACCAACTATCTAGGTTTCCATGATGAAGGTTTTTTCTAGTTTAAGTACATAACTTCTTCATAGAGTCGCTGTTCATATTTGTTTTCGGTTCAAACATTAGCAGCCGTCATTCGAATTACAAGTTCAGTCCTCCTGTTTGAAATACTCGCAGATGGAACCGTTCTCATTGTACAACCTCCATGTATGATGTTAAATTTTGTTAATCAACCACAAAAATCAAGACAGTTGTCCTAATGGGTGGAGTTTCTTTGCCACACCTTAAAAGCTCCCTGAAGTCATAGATGCCAATACCACTTGCCGTGGGGAAGAGGTGGGAGCTGATGCACCCTCGACGAGTAATCATAACCTCTTTAAGTTAAATATATTAAATCATTTTAGCACCTTCAATTACATTCAGAGTGGCCGTCGTGAAGTTTGACGTATGTCAATTACAGACCACGCGTCACGATCCATTGTTATTCTCAGCAGATCGAGTCACACTTTCAGTAAGGAAAAATAAAATAAAAAGAGGTGAAAGGGGCATTAATGGCCAATACACTTCTCACCTGCTTTCTTTCTGTCTGCATGCTAATTAGTCTTTGAATCCAAATTACCATTTCAATAAAAAAGATGGCGAAATTGAAAGTCCCTCTATCCAGACACATTAAAGTCGTGTTTTTCACCAAGCAGAAATTGCAAGGGGATAAAAGGTGAGTTTCCCAAGCATCAAATTTCCCAACTATTCCCACAACTTTCTAAGGCCTTTATTTAGGTAAATATTGATTTCCGATAGTTAATTTAACACCAATGGCCACCTGCAGGTAATTCACTTGACAGATGCGCCTCACTGACTCAAACAATTTTAGACGAGGAGACAAATAAAACTTCAAACAAATTTTATGGGGAAAAAGGAAGAAAATAAGGCTGTGCTTTTGGTTATTTGACAGTAAGATGGCAACTATCTTAAAAAGTAGTACATTGATGCATTAATTTTGTCCAGTAAAGTAGCCATAGAGGAATATCCCATTGTATAAAAAGGCAATTTTAGAATAATTGCGTCATAATGTCAATTTGACATGCCTAGAATGCCTCCTCAAGTGCACCATATACAACTTATTTGAGTCTAAACTCTGTGGGAGAACCAGTCAGGAGGGAGAAATTTGATACCAGAGGAGAATGAAAGCTGTCACACTACCATCGAGACTACCTTACAAATTTTTATATAAAACAGCATAAATGCTTTTTGTTGATATTTGAGCAGACGACCCCAAATCTTGGTGGACGAAATGACATCTTGCAACAGCGTGTGGGGATCTACAGAAGCCGTGCATCATGAGACGTAAAGGAATCAGTCTGTCAGAACAGTGTATTCCTTATCTTGAACCCAATCTCCTACCATTGAACGTCAGTTGAACATGATAAAAATGAGTCGGGGTGGTCTGTCTCTCGAAATCCATTTACCTCGATTCCCGTGATGAAGGTTTATTCCATCATATGAAGGAGGCGCGATATGCGGTTACGTCGCATTTATGAAGCCCCACCTGCCTTGACAACAACGAAGAGTTGTGTCTTCCAGTGGATCCACATAACTGGAGATCGATGTATGGCAAAAGTCGTGGATGTTGCAAAGCAAATAAGTCTGATTTACAGGCGTTAAAGAAGGACAATGAACTTCATGTGTACAGAGAAATGGCTCCTGCAACGGGGTTATCTTCAAGCGCTCCACTGCGACCCATTCCACACTTCTAAGTTATGCGTCTCCATCTTCACGAGACTCTGCTTGCCTTGGTTAAAAGTCAAAACGAAAGCATTTTTAGCTGGAATCTATCCCTTGATCTACTGAAGACGATACACTTTAAAGATGATTAAGACAAACCTCTTCACAGGCGGTCGAGACCTGGACTGTGGAATGAGACGGAAGTAGATTGTTGGGAAACGGAGTCGAGGTGATCGCGGTTGAGGCAGAAATGTGCATTCAAGGTGTGTGATGTAGTGCCCCTAAACACGGAACCTCCCCATACAGTTGAAGGTGCATTTTGCATTTCGAATGACTCGAAAAGACTCAAAGGCAACCTTGGGTAGACCAGATTGAGTAGCCACTTGCTTACACAATCAAAACGAAGAACAAGTTAGATGTCAACGAGACCTGAAAGAGTCACTTCCAGCCCTAAAAGGATTACTGCAACAACACGAGGACATTCATCGTCGACAGAAGCCAAACCTCGACACGCGAGCCCTTCAATTTGAGTAGTTTCACCCACCAACCATTCCACGAGCTCGGAATAAAGCTCCTTCCACATTCGCTCAGCCCATCGCCTCCATTGGAGGGAATTGCAGGCACAACACCGCAGCAGAGTGAACACCAAAGACATTCGAATGGGGAGACAACTTCAGTGCAGTGTCACACTGACGTGTGAGAAGCTTGGCTTACTGCTCTACTGATGGCCTGATTCACCGATTTGGACTTGACTTTCAGTACCTTCAACGTGGAACCACTCGGGATGATAGGATAAAAATAAAGAAATAATAAAAATGTAGGGTCTTTAATTTAATATATGCTAAAAAGGTACGCAATAAACTTTAAAACAGAAGGCGTAAAAAAGAATCCACTCTTAGTGGGAATTTAGTGGGCTTATAAAAATTTCCTCAAACGCCGCAACCTGGGAGACTCGAGCACGACCCTTCTTCAGGAGGCCTAAAATCCACCAAAAAAGAGTAGTCAACCCATTGACAAGAGATGAAGTATAGGAGTGAAATGGAAAAGGCACGTACAGAGGAGGTGATGAAAGGCTTTAGCGGCCTGTTTTCGAGTACTGGAAGGCGCTAGAAGTCGAGAAAATTCCACCGTTGATTCACCGCTTTTGAAAACTTTTTGGACGGTGCTGACAAAGAAGATGAACGTGAGTGAAGGTAAGGACCAGGAGGAGGGGGAGGAGGAAAAGGAGAAAAGAAGCGCTCGATACTACCTCCAAAGTGCTGATTCATCGACGTAGAAAGCAGGCACACCAACAAAAGGCAGTGAAGACCGCGGAGGAAGTGCTAAATGTTTAGAAAAAAAAAGTTACCCAAATACCGCTCAATTTTTGTCCTGATCAAAATGTGGCCAAGGTAGACACTCCTACCCAAATTACTTCATAATGGGTGACAATCATGCCAACTTTTCGCACCTTCGAGACTTTTGGGAAAGTCCGATTCGAAGGAACGAAACCCAAGGTATTGGCAATTTCTACCAGATGAGTCGTCAGTCTCCTAATAACTGCCAAGCAGCAAACAAAAGATCATGGAAGTTGTCAATTTGGCTGCCTTATCGACATGAATGCGAGTCGGTCCGTCGAAACATTTTGGTATTTTGCTTCTGGAGGTAAGGATTTCGTGGAAGTAAAGTCTGCAGTAAGAGCAGGACTCAGTGAAAAAAAGATTCAGGGATCGAATTAGCGTCTGTTTCAACGGAAAAAGTGTTTCAAGGATATGTCTGCGATTCGCGGACTTTTCGTGTCAAGAAGAAAATCTACATGAGACTACGAAGTCTTGCTGAAGAGCCCAAGTGCTGCGGACTAGGAAATTTGGGGACCAAGTTGTTTTGAGGGCATACTTATCTATCCGAACCCATCAATATCCGCGGTTGTCCATTATCTTAGTAACGACTTTTCACTCACCCATACAATCCCTCAAACTTACACTACGACTAAAATATATCATTTGACACCTCGCAACCTACCTTCAGTCATTGACGCTGGCTGTCCTTCTTCCAGTTGAGGAGGTGGAACTACAAAAGTGGCATCAAAAAAGCCATTAGAAGTCCATTAGAACTCACCATTGAGCCCATTCATCGAGATTCTGACTCACTCTCAGACGCCACCAGCGTCGTCTCCTGAAGTGTTGGCGGCTCTTGTGGAGGTGGAAGCATCTTCTCCTCCGGAATGGTGATGCTCTGCGTTGATGCAGGTATATGAAGACTGCGTCCTTCCTGTTCCTGTTCTTGGCTGGAGGAGGCTCGCGCTAAGCCCAGAGAGGAGACACGGGGAGCAAGGAGGCCCGAGAACTGTTCACTCATTGTACCACGGGCCTCTTCGCGGGAAGACTCAGTCACAGACTCGCGGATACTACCAAGATTGGAGCGAGAGACACGGCTGGAAAGGGGACGGGAGTCTTCCAGTGGCATTGACTCGCACAGACGACGCTTGGAACGCCAAAGCTACGAAGGGGAAATTGCATCAAATGGGGAATTTAATAAAACCACCCATCCTATTAATCACCCAACTCTTCCAACCTTTTATCATAGACACATAAATTAAGGTTACGAAGAAACGCCAACCTCGCCCAGGGTTCGACTGATGGCCAGCTCCCAATTTGCAGGCAGCGCGAGCAATCGGTCGACGTAGAACGATCTTGCACGCCTTGGATGTGCCTCTGAAGCCCCAGGGGCCAGAGTCTCCGCTCTTGTACGCAAGTTTTCGTGACTCATCTCAAAGTTCTCCATAATCTGGGCTTTCGAGAGCTGGAGCACCTCATCTCTTACCAGGTAGCAGTTGCGACGACGACGACGGCGACGGTGTGGAACGACTTGTGCATCTGGAGCGGACAGCTGGGAGAGATGAAGAGTCGCCAAGGCTACTTGTGGCGGCTTTGACCTGTTCAAAAGGAATTGCCAATTCGCTAAAAAACCACTCCTCAATTACATAAGAAACTTTCGAAACGTTCCGAATCTTTGAGCTTAAAAAGGGCAGAAAAAGCAACAATTACCTCCACACAAAATCTCCACTTTTTGTAGATTACAATCACTACATCTCGAGGCCCCAAGGCTAATGCCCATTTAACAGAAGTTAAAATCCCACCAGACCTGCACATCCAGAACTGGATAACTACAATTTCGCTGACATGATACTAAACGACATTAAGAGGGCAACTTGGCCCTTTGATGGGCATTTCTATGAAGACTCAACAGAAGGATTACTGGAGGCACACCCATGCGTGACGGCCACCCTACTCTTGTGGTCTATAAGGCGACTAACATTTGAAGCGACATTGGCCTTGAAGGCGTCGATCCTGGAATTACCCGTGGTATTTCCATGGGGATGCATGATTTATATGAGCAAATGACACCTTTCCAACGGTCCCAGCAACTGAATGGAACCGAGATAGACAACTGGACGAAAATGAAATGAGAGGAAAGTGGTAGGGAAGATACAGAATAGTAACCTCATAAAATTTCCTCAAAACTGACATATGAAGCACGTCTGAAGAGCGGTGACCCGTCTAGAGCAATGCAGTACCTGTGAGTTGATGAAGCAAAAAAATGAATTTATCACCTACTTTTCTATCTTGTGGATGATTACTTTTAAACCACCGGCTTCGTTTTGATGGTCGATGCGAGGAGACCCACAAGATTTAACCGTACATTTGCCTACACATTCGCACATCACCGTCTGCGCCATTTCTGCTAACACCTCACCAGTCCCTGTGCATATTCAGAAGGTTCGACAGGTACCTGGACCCCTTGGGCCCTGTGTATAATGAAAGCCATTTCAACAGGCTCCTGAAGAGATGCATAAACTAGCCACACATTGCCCCCCCCCCCACACCCATTAGATGATAAGCAATCAAGGAAGACAAAATTGACAGGCTTTTCTTAGCCGGCAACATTCCAAAAAGACTTTTCCAATTAAGGCCCTTACAATGTGGAAATGCCTAAATACCAATCTTCATGAATGACGTCGCAGTGGAAACGGGTAGACCTCATTCTCAGCTCGAACGTAAAGTTGAGCGGTTATTCAGACTATTTGTTAAATCGACAGTTGCTTGCGATGAGATAGGATCAATTCACAAAAATATGCTCCCTCAAGGCAACACATCCTCACCAATATGTCCAGGTTTTGAGCCACTCTCTATGTTGCGGTGACCAACAACACAGGTTTACCAAGAGGAGCAAAGAATACGAAACGTAGAAAAAGAAGGGCTTTTCAAAGACTGTGGTTTATGCCTTTCCACAGCTGGATGACCTTATGACTACGGTTAGAACCTTCCATTTGCTCAAAACTCCATCAGTGAGCCATACTTCTCCATCAGTAAGGACCTCTGATGTGACGATACAACTTAATCACTCCACCTCGGTAAGAAGCGCAAAATGTGAAGAGAAGAAAGAATAATGCTAGCTCAAAAATTGAAAAAAATATGACCCACTTGACAGCTGAAGAGGCAGCACAAGGCCGTGGACACCCGAGGTCAAGGGATGAGTTACGAATCGACACGTCGTTGGCGGCAACCTCAGCATCCAAACGTCGACGCTTTGGACTAGTACCTTGCAAAGCTTCCTCAATGGGTTGAAGACTAAAAGGTTAAAGAAAATAATGCTTGTATTCGAAATTTCTGAGCATTTATATCAGCTTAGATTTGCTAAACAACTCACGTCTCAGGTTTGGGCGATTTTGTCTGGGCAGCCTCAGGAACTTGATCCCTGAAAATAGGGAATAGAAAGTAATGTTAATGAATTCCGAACAGAAGAAAACTGATTTCTCTTTTATTTGCTGAAGTGTTGCTTGCAGGAAAAGGAAAACAGGTGTACAGCATCTGTCCTCCACGAAGTGACAACAAGCACAGAATCAATTTTGGGTTCAGTGTAGGGTGAGCAGGAGGGAGAACACTTAACCCCATCACCTCTGTAGAACCCATGGAAGCGGACGACCAATACTCAAATTTCGTCGCCAGAATCCATGAAAACCGAAAGTCTACAAGTGAATTCTACCAAAGGGGAGAAGTAGGGCCTTTAATGCATATCGCCTTCCCTACGTTGACAATACCGTGTTGCCTTTTAGTGGATCACTTGAATGGTAGCCTTTCAGAGTGAATGAGAAGAGGACATCTTTGAGCCAAGATTCAATGCACATGGTAAAGTTCTATGGAAGTACAGAGTATCAATGTTCTACTATGAAATGAAGAGCCGAATCTGAAAATCGGTACGCTAAAAGGTGAGCTAATGCGTTAAGTAGGTTTTTACGAATGAGAGATCTACGGAAGTCAATTGAAGACACTGTATGCAATAAAATAACCACCTCATTCGCAAATGGTTGTTCTGCAATGAAGCCTTATCAAAGCGTAGATAATAACTTCGAGCGTTGCTTACGTTGAGGGAGGACGGATATACAATAAAGTGACTGCTGGAAGGGTCAAGCTCAAGAAAGATCAACGTTGGATCTGCTATAAGGCGGAACTAGGAGACGCTTATCTCCGTCCACTTTACAGGGCCCAAGGTAAGGGAGTAAACTACTCATTATATGACAGCAGAGTGGGCTTAGGACCAGCAGCGCTGGAATTCTGAAGGCAAGAACTTTAAAAGAGGTTTGGATGAGCAGCCTAAATACTGACTATGGAAGAAAGTTTTGATCTATTCAGCATTACTGCACCTGAAAAATGCCTCCTGGCTATCAATGAAATCGTGGAACTGTTAGTAATGGAGTGACCAAAACTAAGATTCCCTGAGAGGACATGAGCTTCAGAAAAAAATACTGAGGAATCCCACAGAATGCTCGTTGCTTGGATTGAAAAAAATGAAACAACAGGAGGGGAGATAAAGTGTAAGTTTGCCCTGAATGTAAGCGTACGAGAAGGAGACATGGTTTCATCATCAAGTGAATTTCTTGACACGTAAGAAGGCTAATCACTTACTTTCCCGCTAACAGTGAAACTCCGGTGGTTTCCTCCGGAGCTTGACGTCTAAAGCGAGGGAGAAAAAAAACTTCCATTGAACAGGTTTTCCAAAAGGGTTAACACGAAAAAGCCTTTCTACTAGGTAAGTTTATCATCATCGCGGTTCTGTAAACGAAAATTGCCCTCGAGACCCACAAATGCTGGTGTCGCCTGCTACAGAGTGCTAAAAAGGACTTTCCTGAACTCCATAATACCAATCATTGCATTTTTCACGGTAAAAAGGGCCGACAACCGATTTACAGACAAAACAAACACCCCCTAAAAGCCACTTTGTGTTAGAGAAAAATTGGTCACTTTTAAAGCAGACAAACATAAGTTATGCTTATGTGGTGGCGGATTCAATCCTACCACGATCGTGGTACACATAAATCACTCCAAAGGGTCTCGAACAATCTGCAGCGTCCGCCTAAGAAGAATTAGGCTCTTTAACATTGGCAATTTACAAAATAAATGTCTCTAGACAGCAAAAACACCGAACTTAGCATTCGTGACAATAGCC